CAGGGGCGGATCTAGAAATTATTCTGAGGGGTGCTAAAACGAAAGGTTTGGTAACCAAGGATGTTGCTATGCACAAACTCCGTACACCCCCTGCTAATAAGCCATAATGAAATGAAAGTCTTTCATAAACTAAAAAGCCTGGATATGGATGCCTTGATTGATATAGTAATTTTTTACTACACTTTGATCAGATCCTGGAACTTTGGCTTCAGCTTTTTTGCCAATTGAACGCATTTTGCAGCTCTCCCCCTCTTATATTCACTTAGGGTACAAAAGTATAGAAACTGTAGTCAAATATGATATGATGGCCCGCAGTGGCAAAAGGCCCGAGCCCACAAATTTCCAAAGCAAAATTTAATTTTTGACTCTTTGCAGCCATTTATTGGAACTTGATCAGCTTGATCAAAAAATTAACGTGGCTGGTGGAATGAAGCCCTTGAACTTGAAGTGCAGTGCACGTCATTAGAATAAATAGAACAATAGAAAAAAATCGAACAAAAGTTGAACACAGGGATTCAAACACAGCATGCATGGCATGCATCGACGTATTTTTTTATATAAGGCTTGCAGAAACCGAAATAAAAATTTCATGAGTTATTGAAAAATTAATTGAAAGAAAACTCTGTCTTTGTAGCTACAAAGAATTCTATTGATGAATCAAACAAAAAGATTTATTACTATGTCTGTGAAAAATTAGATTTTTTCTGAACTATTGATAAGTATGCGTCCTTAACTTCTCGACTAACTCAAGCCCCGAGGTGGCACCATGGTTGCCGCGGAAGGGTCAGAAAATTTTCTAATATGAGTGATTCCAGTTCGCTGTAAAATGCTACTCCACAATTTGTCGCTCATCAAGGGTTCAATTTACCGATGAAGACAAAGATGAAATGAACTTTAGGTGCCATTTTACCTACCGATTGGATTTCAGTGACCAATAAATCGTTAAATGGACCAACTGAAGAATCACCGGCTATCGTATGAATTTGATAGGGTTGTATTGTATTGTATTGTATTGTATGGTATTGTATTGTATTGTATTGTATTGTATTGTATTTGTATTGTTGATTGTATGGTTTTTGTATGTATTATTTTGGTTATTGGTTTGATTGTTAAATTGGTATGTTATTGTATGTATGTTTGTATTGTATTGTTGTTAATTGGTTATGTATTGTACAATGTAAATTGATATTGGTTGTATTGTAATTTGTAATTTTTGATTGTAAGTTAATGTATGTATTGTATTGTAATTGTATTGGGTATTTGGTATTGTATTGTATTGGATTGTTTATTTGTTATTGTTATTTGTATTCTGTAATTGTATTGTATTGTATTGATGTTATTTATGTTTGTATTGTATTTGTAATGTAATTGTATGTATTGTAATTGTATTGTATTGGTATGTATTGTAATTGTAATTGTATTTGTAATGTTGTATTGTATTTGCTATTGTAATGTTTTGTATTTGTAATTGTTATTGTATTGTATTGTAATTGTATTGTGATTGTTAGTGCATTAAGCATTGATCATTCGGGGCTGGTTTCAAAAGGGGCCAAAGCCCGTAATTACGTGGACTGTCATTTTGAATCCAGTTGAACCCCACCAGCTTGGGTCCCCATGCCATTTCATTTTTTCAAATAATGGTGAAATTAACCGGTTCAAAAAAAATTCTCCGGGGCCCCCCGGGGGGAAATTTACTGTGAACCTCCAATAATTAGCCTTCAAGGGTTATGAAGACGGCAAAACAAAACTGTAATAAATAAATCTGTTAATAGTCCTGCGCGCCTATTCTTAGCATTTTAATTGTTTAGAAGTTTCCTGATCGCATATTATCAACATTAGAAATGCGGAAATGAGACCCTTTTGCCCTTAGTGGCCATTCTGTGAAATTAGTAATGAACAGAAATCGTTGCATTCGTGGAGCAAAATCTGGAATGAATATCTCAGCGCGGAGTCCCAAGCAACTTCCTTCTTTATGCTTCTTTT